TAGTGATAAAGCGGGATATCAAATCCAAACTCTTCTCTGCCTCCTCCTCCCCTTCTTCTTCTTCTTCTTCTTCTTCTTCTTCTTCTTCTTCTTCTTCTTCTTCTTCTTCCAGATACAGGGCTGCCTTCAGATGTCTTCTAAAAGTTATGTAGTTCTTTATCGCCTTGACATCTGGAGGGAGGGCATTACACAGGGAAGGCACAACTACCAAGAAGGCAGTCGTTATTTCTAAATTCTGTATTCTACCTTTTGCCCACGAAACATGTCAACAAACCCACAAGGTGATTCCTGTCATTATAACAAAGCATATTTTTTTTAAAAAAACCTCAATAAATAATCCGGCATATATTTTCAAAATCTCTTTGTGTGCTCTGCTCTGGACATGAAGATTTCAACCATATTTTGCATGATGGTTCCTGAGATCAGGGAGCAGGTTTTTTTATAAGTTAAGATGCAATTGGATGCCATTGTAAATCAAGATGGTCGACTGAATTTTTCAAAACTGATTTTTCAGTGTGTGCAAATTCTTGAGGAAGGATGGAATATGGGTCCTTTGATTTGGCAAGAAGAAGGTCCTTAGCCATCTCAGAGGAATGCAAAGGAGATGCATTGTAGGTGATCCCTGGCAGAACCAGAAGGAATAAAAACAGTGAGAAGAGATAACATGCTCCAGAAGTCTAGAACCAAAAGGCAGCAGAGAGATTGGACCATTAGAAGGAGATGAAGGATCAGGGGATGACATTACTGGGAATAGGAGAAAATGTGGCATGTTTAGATACTCTTGCAAACAAGCCAGAAGAGGCATGCTAATGATATATAAAGCAGAGAAGCAATAAGAGGAGCAACCATATGTAGCCAGAAGACAGAAGGGAACCAGGTCAGGACAACAACTGGAAGAGGACAACAAACCTCACAGCAACCCTTCAGAAGCAGAAGAAAAGGTTGGAAGAGCAAGAGAAGAAGAAGGGACATGTAAAAGCAGCAGAGGGAAAGGAGCGGGTCATGAGCTGCAGAAGACAGGAGAATAATAGAGCAGTTCCAAGGAGAATGAGAGAAAGGAAGGTGAGAGGGAGACAAGCAACCAAGGGAGATGAGCTTGGAAGAGAGGGAATGAGAAGCAGCCCTGGTGAAAGGCACCAAGGTCCCACAAGAAGGAGATGAATGACTAAAGGTCACACGCCAGAAGCCTTCAGGTATCCACCCTTTAATTGCCATACATCAACCAAGTTAAATGTAACGATGCTTAATGTAGAGTGAAAGGGACGCGGGTGGCGCTGTGGGTAAAACCTCAGTGGCTAGGACCTGCCGATCGTATGGTCGGCGGTTCGAATCCCCGCGGCGGGGTGAGCTCCCGTCGTTCGGTCCCAGCTCCTGCCCACCTAGCAGTTCGAAAGCACCCTTAAAGTGCAAGTAGATAAATAGGTACCACTTTATAGCGGGAAGGTAAACGGCGTTTCCATGTGCTGCACTGGTGCTGGCTTGCCAGAGCAGCTTCGTCACGCTGGCCACGTGACCCGGAAGTGTCTCCGGACAGCGCTGGCCCCCGGCCTCTTAAGTGAGATGGGCGCACAACCCTAGAGTCGGACACGACTGGCCCGTACGGGCAGGGGTACCTTTACCTTTAATGTAGAGTGAAGACAGGAGTGCCTGGCGTGCTCTGGTCCATGGGGTCACAAAGAGTCGGACACGACTAAACGACTAAACAACAACAACAAATGTAGAGTACCAAAGGCAAACAAAAGCATCATCAAAGCCCAATCATTCAGTTGTTAGACCACAATGGTTTGTATGATGCCCTTGATGCAGAAAAACAAAACCTATATAAAAATATTAAAAGACCCACCTGGAGAAAAACACTTTGTTCTCTGCTGGCAGACAGGAGAGGGACCTGCCAGAGGCTCAGATGCAGAAATATTTATGTCTCTTCCTGACGAGGGAGGATGTAATGCTTTCCTCCTGCAATTCTCAGGGACCCCAGGGGCATCAGCCCAAAGGAAGCTGCTCTGCAGTGGGCAGAACTCAGCACCAGCCTCCCTTGACAGACTAGGTCCCAGAAGCTGCAACCGTTGGGATCACAGAGATCTACCATCTGATCTATATATTTTAAGCACAGGCTGTGTGAAGTAGCTCAGTAGCAACAATACTTTGGGTTGTATTTTCTCCATTGCATAATTTCTCTTCTGTCTCTAGTTCTAGTTCACCTCGTGCAAAGGAATGAGGCCCCTCTCAAGTCCCCCTGTGCTCCCCATAAATCTGTTCTGGGTCTCTCCCTAGGCCTCCAGAGCAGATCTGAGGGCAGCCCAGGGTGCATGTGGAGTGGGGAGATCCCTTTACACCAGTGCTAGTGCAAAATGTAGTTGAAAGCCACCCTTTAGGCTCCCATGCACACCCAACTGGACTCAGCTACATTTGTAAAGATAAAGCGCTTTATATGCATTATAGCACTATGGCACCAAATGGCGCAGCGGAGTCCGATGTTTTGCCAACAGAACTTCCCTGTATGAGGTTTGCAACAAATGTGTTGCAAACTTCATACAGGGAAGAGTATGTGTCTGGATCCAGCCTGGAGCTGTGTCGTGCATGAGACCTCACAGACTATATTCTTTTAAACTGTGGATAACAGAGAACACACTTGGGTGTCTCATTGCAATAAATAAAGAGGCACTGCACATCACTTTGTGGTTCATTGACCAATAAATATGATCTGTCCTGCCTACAGATGACTACTTTTGAAAGAATTTTTGGAACTTTATCACGTATGCAAACATTCCAGAAAATGAAAGACCCGTGCCAAAGGGGTATGCCAATTTGTGGACAGTGTCACACACACAAAGATCATCTGTGCTTTGTTTCCTGGTTTTTGTTTTCTCTCATAAAGCAATGTGCTCCTGCTGCTCCTGCTGCAAGGTGTCCTGGTCCCAAGCTGTCCAGGGTTTGTGCACGACTCCCAGCTCTTTGAAGTTAGCCCTGTGAGATCCAAGCATAAGAATGCCCCATGCTGGATCTGGCCAGGGGCCCATCAAGCCCAGCTTCCTGTTCTCCCAGTGGCCACCGAGATGCCTCAAGGGGAAGCCCGCAAGCAGGATCCGAGCATCACAACATCCATCTCCCCACTTGCGACTCCCAGCCTCTGCTGTTCAGTAGAGTTCTGCCTCTTACAAAAGAGGGAGAAAAACCTTCGGTGTGCATGCACAGTCCATAGGGTGTCCCCTGGAAATGGGCCTTTTCCCCTTGTTTTTGTTTTTGGTGTTGATGTTTTGTGGGTTTTGTATTTTTTCTTTCTTTTTATTGATTTGTACTGTTTAATTACTTTTTTCTCTTTTTTCTTTTTCCTTGTCTTTTTCTGTAATTTTAAATTCTCAATAAATATCATTAATAAAAAAAAAAGACCAGTTTGACTTGGGCTTCAATATGTTCACAGCGTTGAAAATTGGTAGGAGTACATGGGTAACACTGCCACCATCTCTCCAACAACACAGATCATTAAAAATGTGTGTTTATAATGGCTACTAGCCACAATATTGTTGTTCATTCTTCTTATTGATCATTTTATTGTTTTATCCTTTTTGGAAATCACGCTGAAATGGTGTGGTTGTTGTTTTTGACAATCAAGTGGTGTACAGATTTTATGAAATGAAATAAATAAGAATGTTTGCATGTTGCGTGTGTTGGTGGGTGATGTCCCATAAGAACATAAGGGGAGCTTGGCTGCTGAATCCCCCCAAGGAGATGCCTCATAGTCCTGGTCTTGAACCCTGGCCAAGCAGGTGTCTCTTGGGAGAAGCCCACAAGGAGGGCAGGACCACAACAGCACTCTCTGATAGTGGAGGAAGAACATAGATAATGTAAGGCTTTTGAAGAGTTAAAATAGCAATGAAGCGAAAACAGCTTAAAACTCGCCTCAACTTACTAAATATGTTTGTTGACTTCTCTGCTTTGTTGTGTTCTGTATTCTCTATCATTAGAGGTTTCTGCAGAGACTGGGGAGATGCCAAGTCAAGAACCAAACACCAAGAACAGTTTATTGAACACACCTGAGTTGGAGGGATGCAGGTTGGGGACATTCTTGGATTTGGAGAAAGCAAACATTTGGATATGTTTTCAGGGCTGAGCAGAGATAACTCAGTTTAACAGTTTAACAGAAGTTTAGAAATGCAAGTTATGAAACCAAGCGTCCTCATTTCATGAAATAGCATATTGTCAAAAGGACTGCAAGAAGATCAAACCGATCCAATCTTAAGGAAATCAGCCTTGAGTGCTCACTGGAAGGACAGATCATGAAGCTGAGGCTCCAAGACTTTGGCCACCTCCTGAGAAGAGAAGACTCCCTGGAAAAGACCCTGATGTTGGGAAAGGTGGAGGGCACAAGGAGAAGGGGATGACAGAGGATGAGATGGTTGGACAGTGTTCTCGAAACTACATACATGAGTCTGACTAAACTGCGGGAGGCAGTGGAAGACAGGAGGGCCTGGCGTGCTCTGGTCCATGGGGTCACGAAGAGGTGGACACGACTAAACGACTAAACAAAAAATGAGGGAATGCTCCATTTTCAATGAGATAGGGAAGCTGTTCCTGACATTTTCTTTTTCTTTTTAATAAACATTGTCCATAGGATCATTGGAAATGGCATCATACAAAGTCAGACTATTGGTCCACCTCCCAGGCTGCCAGTATTTCTCAAGAGTCCTAGGCAGTAGTTTCTCCCATCCCCACCTGGAGATACCAGGGATTCAACCCGGAGCATTCTCTACCCCTGAGCTACACAGTTTCCTCCCCTATGGTGCTATTCCATGATCATATGGTGCTTTATAATGTATGGCAGAATAGGGTACTCATGAAAAAGCTACCCTGTCTCCTTATATACATCTGTTTGTGGGTTTAAATGATGACCATGGTTTCCGTAAATGCATAAAACCAAATGGTCACTCAATTTCCCTCTGCTGAGCTTGAGAAACCACAAACACTCGGGGGGAAATTGCTACACTCTTTGCCAATTCAGATCAGAACTTCTTCTGAGAAAAAAGCCTGCCCAGGGCTTTGCGGATCTCTTTGGTTTTGATGCTGTAGATGATGGGGTTCAGAATGGGAGGAACCAGGAGATAGATGTTGGCCATCAGTGAGGGCAGCATCGGGGAATTATGCCTGCCAAACCTGTGCGCCATGGAAACACCGATCATTAGGGTGTAATAGAGCACGACAGCACAGATGTGGGAGACGCAGGTGTTCAGGGCCTTGAGACGGCCTTCCTTGGAGGCCATGCTCAGCACGGTCTTGAGGATCATCACATAGGACAAGACAATGCACAAGGAATCAAGGCCAAATGTGGAAACTACAAAAAACAGGCCGTAGAGGTTGTTGACCATGATGTCCGCACAAGGGAGATGGATCAAATTGGGGTGCAGACAGTAAGGGTGAGCAAGGGTGGTAGACTTGCAAAATGGCAGCCTCCTTAGGAGGAGAGGCATTGGGACCATTAGGAGAACACTCCTCAGGGCAATCTCAGATCCCAACAAAATGATCCTAAGGCTTGTCAGGATTGTGGTGTATTGCAGGGGGTTGTAAATGGCTATGAAGCGGTCCAGGGCCATCGCCCAGAGGACCCCTGAGTCCATACAGGAGAAGCAGTGGATGAAGAACATCTGGCCAAGACACGCATCCAGCCCAATCTCCTTAGCATCAAACAGGAAGGTGCTCAGCACTGTGGGAAGGGTAGACAGGGAGACCCCCAGCTCACTCACAGCCAGCATACAGAGGAAGAGGTACATGGGCTTGTGGAGGCTCTGATCCTTCACGATCACTAGGAGAACAGCACCATTCCCCAAGACAGCAGTGACGTAGGCAAAGCAGAAAGAGAAGGAGACCCAGTTGTTTCTGTTCTCTAGTCCTGGGATGCCAGTAAGGACGAATGTGGGATGGATGATGCTTTGGTTATTTTGTGGTCCCATGGTGAGTGGTCAGGTTCCCCCATTCAGTAGCACCTGGATCGACATAATCAGTAAAGAAATAGGCACCATCATCAACATGGGAGACTTGATTATTTTGGTTCTGCATTCCCTAATGCCATCTATATTGGTGGCCCAGGCTATAATTATAATCTGCTTGTGTTCATTAAATTATGCAGCATATCTTTTGGTGAGCAAAAAGGTGAAAGATCCCTCAAGGTGACACCTTTGAATACTGAAACATCACAATGTGCTGTCTTTTTATATATATATATAAAGCAATCAATAAACTGCCATATATTTGGGGGAGCTGTTTGGAGAGCTCTTTGTCTATCCTAACCAAATTTGGCAGAGATGCTTTCTGAGATCAAGGAACGGGTTTTCATCTACTTTTGGTCACAAACAGATGCCATTTTAAATCAAGATGATGGACTAAACCTTCCAAAACTGCCCTGATTTAACCACTGCTCTGTTACATATCCCCTTCTGGACTCGCTCTGGACATCAGAACATTCTGCGAACACAGCCATGTCTGCGTTGCACAGGGAACGTCTTCACGCTGCACCCAACTGTGTATAAACACTATAGCTCTTAAGCACATTCTTCCCCTCAAATAATTCTGGGCCTCGCAGTCTTACCATTCCCAGCAACCCTTTCCAAACCACAGCACCTTCTGGATACTTTGGACTACATCTCCCATCAGCCACAGCGAATCATGTTCTGCTATCTGGAACAGAATCTGCATCAAGAAGGACATCTCCCTGCCGACCTTGATGCAATTGATGGCGCAAAACATCTTGGGGGGAACCAGATTCGGGGGAAACTGTACTATGCAAATAGAATGATATTGAAGCAAGGAAAGAAATAGACAGCTAACAGAGTCTGTGTACACACCAGAGTGTTAATGTGCAAGGTGGCCCATAAGGTCGATTTTCCCCATGTGATTTTGTGCATGTTCATCCACAGATGAGTACCTTCAATCATAGCTGTCAACTTTTCCCTTTTCTTGCGAGGAATCCTATTCGGAATAAGGGAATTTCCCTTTTAAAAAGGGAAACGTTGACAGCTATGCCTTCAATTGATACAAAAATGAAGAAGAAAAATGCCCAAACAATGCATTTTGGTTCATCCATATCAGGCCTTTGAGCCTGAGCTTCCACAGCCAACACCCACCTTGGGCATGATGGGCAGCAACAACAACAGCAGGCATGTCCTTGGCTTATGGTAATATTTCATTCTTTTGCTAATTATGCTCTTTTATTAATTTAAATCACACACATACACAAAGAATCTAGAAAGAATCTACAATCTCACACCACAAAAAGAAAACCAAACAATCAAGAAGAAAAAAAGAAGAAAACACAGAAAAAAGAAAGAAGAAAAAGCAGGTCTACGTGCACAAAAAACCCCAATCTTCCCAACCAACACCCAAATAAACACTCAAATAAAAAAGACTTCTGACAAAATGAGTCTTCCAATCATTCTCATTGTACTGTTTATACTGCCATTGTTTTCTTCGCACAGTTTTATATTCTTTAATTATGCTCTTTTAAATGTGCATTCTATGTCTTACTTCCTTTAGCAACATTCTATTTTGAATTTTTTAAGATAAAACTTTTGTTTCCAGTTAAATAGGTTGCTTTGAATGTATTCTTGACTTTCTTCAGTAACTTTTTATTCTGGGTTGTTTTACTTGATCTTTTAATGTAGGTTGTAAACCACTTTGAGATTTTCTTTTCCTGAAAGTATAAAGCGGTGTGGATATGAAATAAGTCGACACAATAATATCCCTGCAGTTTTGAGAGGAAGCAGTGGGGTGATCTGGTCAGGCCTTGCAATGGCTCCCATGTTTCCCAATTCATCCAGCGAGTAACTGGCTCCATCTTGCCTCTCTTCTTGCCTGGTTCCACCTGAACTCTTTCCGTGGCAGCAGGTAGCATCTAAGGCCACTGGTGTGCAGGTGAACAGAGCAGAACCGCCTCCCCATGGAAAGCGAGCATGCCAGGGATAAGGGCACTGATACGGAAGGGGGGGGCATGTCTTCTTCACCTTCTTCTTCGCTACAATATATCCATTTATTTCCAATTGTCAATGTCAAAAGGGACTAAAATCTATAAAATTCATAGAAAACCAACGTGCCAATTTGCTCAATTTCTCTAGGACTCCCTGACACCTCCCCTGTCCTCCATAATCCCTCAAGCAAAGTGTCAAGACCCTAATCCTGTCAAATCGCTCTGCCAAGCCTTTCCTCCGGGCAATGCCAGGTGACAGAATATGCATACATGGACCATTGACTTCTCATCACCGGTACTCAGGAAGTGCTTATCTGCGCATATCTCCAACTCTGCATATTCCCCCCTCCTCCTCCATATGTTAATCCGGTGTAACCCAACCTCTTCTTAATGTATTCATGATGTAATCTGTGTAACCCAACCTCTCCTTAATGTATTCATGATGTAATCTGTGTAACCCAACCTCTTCTTAATGTATTCATGATGTAATCTGTGTAACCCAACCTCTTCTTAATGTATTCATGATGTAATCTGTGTAACCCAACCTCTCCTTGTTGAGGTTGGAACTTAACTGGTTAAGAAGTTCCCAGGATGCCTCAACATTCTGACGTCAGCTTATGGAAGCTGGGAGGAGCCTGGGAGGGGTTTCTGTTCTGTTCCCCTCTGGCCGGTGAGGGAGAAAGACGTAGCCGGTAATGGCTGCAAGGAGCCCAGGGGGAATCCCTGGGGGAATGTCGGAATAAAGAGCTGAAAAGGACAAGCCTGGACTCTGTGTGTGTTTGTCTGGAAGCTAAGGCAAAGGACGTGACAGTTTCATCACCGCTGTGTTTATCTCTGCTACTGTCGGACGACGGAGCTGAATGGCGCAGCTGAGGGAAGCGCGCCGGACCGGGCTGCCATAAATAGCTAATTGAGGGCCAATAAATCAATTAGCGGGAGTCCGCGCCAATATCGTAAATAACCACAGGTTATGGGTACTAATCACCGCTTGTAAAACTGTCACAAGAGGCTGCCGGAATGCGTTTGAAGTTCGGCAGGAGATGGTGGTTGTTTTTTTTGCCTGGTGTTAAGAGGCAAGGAGAGCTGCGGAGCTGGGAGCTAAGAGAGCAGCTGGAAAATCGTTTCTCCGGACGGGTGCTGGATGAGCTGGTGATCTTGTGAGTACAGCTTGGGGCCCCTTGGGAGAACGGAAGAGGATGGCAGGCTGCCAGGTCTTGGAGGACTGTGGGAGGCTCACTTTAAGAAGTTGGGCAACCTGGCTGCTGATCTGAAGTCTACTGTTCTGGGTGCCAGGAAGCCAGAGGCCGTTCAGCGCTCCAGGGTGTTTGTGAGGCTGGAGGCGGGAAGCAAGGGCTGGGAGATGGCTGCTTCAGAACAGAAAGACAAGATGGCGCTGATCACCTACGTGAGAGCCGGTGCACAGCTGGGAAGGGCTGTGGGCCCCAGAGGGGGGCAAAGGGACTAAGGGCTGCTTGGAAATGTGCTGCGTTTGCTGTGAAGCTTCAGCAGGAGGCCAGAGCCCTGGAGAAGGAATACAAAGCCTAAAGATGGCTGGAGCCCCTGTCCCTGATGCTTTAGCCACAAGGAGTGCTGCTGAGCAGGTCGGGGGGGCGAAGGTTTCCAAAGGCACGTTTAAAGTTTTCCACTGTACGTGCTGGAATGAAGTGGAGGTGCAGAGGGGCGGAGCTGGCAAGGAGTGCTTTTCCGGAAGAAGGAGGGCCAGGCCAGCTGGGAGGAGCCCCGGAGCAGTGTTTTTCCACTGGAGTTCGTCATTGCTACAGGCTTCAAGGCCAGCCATCTGCTGCAGCGGGAGACACGTGCTGCAGAGTTGTCTGGGAACTCTGAGATAAGTCCAGTCTTCAGAGCAACGCAGGATGTTGCGGTTTTCGGACGCTGCCAAGGACAGAGGGGGCAGCGGGACGTTTGTTGCTTCTATGGCAACTGTGAAAAACAACTCCAGCCAGGACACGGTGACACGCTGGGTGTTTTGGTTTCTGCTATCAGGCAGCACCTGATAGGCAAGCTGCGGGACTGCAGGGCTGTTTTCAACAGGAACAATTGTTTTATTCGCAGACGGAGCAGTCTGTGGTGTGGCTAACGTGTGTTTTCTCTCCTTTACAGGAGGAGCAAGAGGTCTACGTTGTGCCGGGACTGAATTGTTGTCGGTTATCTGTATCTGCTCTAACGAAGCAGGGGTTCAAAAATGTGCTTTGAAAATGACACCTGTTCCATTTTCAGAGGGGGGCGACAACGGGTCAACATGGCGAAGAGCAAGAACAATTTCTTTGTTCTGGAGTCACCTCTGGAGGGTGGTGGGAATGCTGAAAGAGCACAGGTGCAGTGTGCTAAGGTTCCCAAAGATGTGCAAAAGTTGCACAGGTGCACAAAAGGGTACAAGCTCCGGAAATGTGGGAGGTCCCAAGGGTGCAGGGCATGCAAAGGTGCAAAGGTACTTGGTTTTCCCGGGTTTGGGAGGGTAGCCAAGGAAGCTTTCGAGCTTGTTCACACAGATCTGTCAGGACCCATGAGGTGTGAGAGTCTGGGTGGGGCCAGGTATGTGCCATCGCTGACAGATGACCACAGCCAGGTTGGCTGGTGTCTCTCTCTCAAACCACAGGGGGAGGCGGCGCAACTGATCCAGGATTGGGTTGCGGAGGTGGAACTAAAGTTCTCCACCAGGACGCAAGGGTTCAAGAGCGACCGAGGGTCACAGTTTACTGGGTCTGCTCTGGAGAAGTTTTTCAAGGAAAAGGAAATACGTCACCAGGTGACGGGGTGCAAAGTCTTCTCAAGGGAGAAGGGAGGCTGTGGCTGAGCCCGGTGACGGGGATCAGGTCCAGAATCAGGGTTCAAAAACCCGGTGATGGGGACCAAGTCCAGGGTCAGGGTTCAGGGCAGGTTTGGGCATCTCCAAGGGTTGTGAAAGGAGTGTCCAGGTGTGAGGCTTCATCTCCGGTAATGGAGAAAGCTCACGGAAGGGTTGTCAAGTCAGAGGGGGAAGAGTCTGACGGAGAAGACACAACTGCTGGCCCTAATGGGTCAGTAGGGTATCAGGTCACAGGTGCGTGGAAAAGTGTCGCACAGTGTGATTCTGGGAATGTTGAAGGGGTTCAACAGGTGCCTGGGAAAGATGCCGGGAAGTGGCACAAGGCAAAGGTAAAGGTGTTGAGATCAAAAGGTCATGTCAGAATGGTTTCAGCAAGAGGGGGTGTTGAGGTTGGAACTTAACTGGTTAAGAAGTTCCCAGGATGCCTCAACATTCTGACGTCAGCTTATGGAAGCTGGGAGGAGCCTGGGAGGGGTTTCTGTTCTGTTCCCCTCTGGCCGGTGAGGGAGAAAGACGTAGCCGGTAATGGCTGCAAGGAGCCCAGGGGGAATCCCTGGGGGAATGTCGGAATAAAGAGCTGAAAAGGACAAGCCTGGACTCTGTGTGTGTTTGTCTGGAAGCTAAGGCAAAGGACGTGACAGTTTCATCACCGCTGTGTTTATCTCTGCTACTGTCGGACGACGGAGCTGAATGGCGCAGCTGAGGGAAGCGCGCCGGACCGGGCTGCCATAAATAGCTAATTGAGGGCCAATAAATCAATTAGCGGGAGTCGCGCCAATATCGTAAATAACCACACTCCTTAATGTATTCATGATGTAACCTGTGTAACCCAACCTCTTCTTAATGTATTCATGATGTAATCTGTGTAACCCAACCTCTCCTTAATGTATTCATGATGTAATCTGTGTAACCCAACCTCTTCTTAATGTATTCATGATGTAATCTGTGTAACCCAACCTCTCCTTAATGTATTCATGATGTAATCTGTGTAACCCAACCTCTCCTTAATGTATTCATGATGTAATCTGTGTAACCCAACCTCTCCTTAATGTATTCATGATGTAATCTGTGTAACCCAACCTCTTCTTAATGTATTCATGATGTAATCTGTGTAACCCAACCTCTCCTTAATGTATTCATGATGTAACTGGGATGTATTTTGCACTGTATTCTGGGACATGGAGGGAAGTTTCAAAAGTTCATGTCACCCCTTTCTCGCTGTTCAATCTCGCCTTGAACCTGTTGTGCAATAAACTTGGATCTTCTGCAGTTTGCTCCTGTCTCCGGCTGAGCTCATTTTCCTCCGCAGGGACCCGCGGACTTAGTCCGATGAGCTGGGTGGCAGAGCAGCCTCGCACCCAGATTTTACCGTAACAGCACTTTCACCTCAACTTGCTAGATTTCCACATATCAGGGAACCTCTGACTCATTTGATCCTCCACCTGCCCTCTCAAATGCTTTGGAGCAGCAATCCTTGCCTACTCTGGCGTAGCCATACTTCAGCAACACTCTCCATTACAGCATCCTGGATTATTACCCCTAAAGCCAGAAGGGAACCTGCGACAAGCTTCTCTGATGAAGAACCAAGTTCCGAAGTGGAATATAAAAGGACTCACCTGGACGGAAACACTTTGGTCTCTGCTGATGTCCAGGAGAGAGATCCAATCCTGCCAGAGGTTCAGCTGGAGGAAGATTTATGCTGCTTCCTTGGGAATCCCTGGAGAGGGAGGAGAGGAGACTTTCCTCCTGCAGCTCTCTGGGACTCCAGAGGAGACCCAAAGGAGACTCTTCCACAGTGGGCAGGGCAGGTGCTGAGCACCATTTCCCCCCAACAAACTAGGTGCCAGCAGCTGCGGCCTCAACAACAGTAGTCAAGGCTGTGAACCAACTATGTGTGTTTCTGTGTGTGGCAAGACTGGAGGAGAGGGAAGCAGGCAGAAAAGCCATAAAAGAAGTGAACAGAAGTGGGATTCCAGCCTTTTATTGCCTGGTTTACAAACATTTTAAGGAGTGGTTATGTGAAGTGCTTAACTGACAGCAACACTTTACATTTAGTTACATGCATGACAAACACTTCATGCCGTCCTCTGGTCCGTGGGCCTAAATGGGTCCGCCAAGGCTCCCTGTTGGGCCATGAGGCTGAATAAGCTACCTGTCCATGCTTGACATCAGGTGCAGGGCAGGTAAAGGTGCAGCTAAAGGAGGATTGACAGACCCTGCTGATAGACCCCCCTGTGCAAAGCCCCACAGAGCCTCTTGTCGGCGCTCACAAAATTATTACGACTATTAGCTTACCCTCCCTTCTTCCTAAGGTCCCAGGATAGGTTAGAACTTTGAAACACAATATTTCAAAAACAAATTAAAACAACCTCCAGTTTCACATTTATTATGCTATTTTTGTGATATACAAATGACATGAGAAAACTTGGTATACTTATTTGTAGAACATCATTCTTGTTCATAAAACCAAATAACAACAACCACCACCTCCAGTTCTTTTGCCTTTGCCTGCACAGTCTGAGTTCACAATACGTGGGCAGAAGCAGGATGCCTGGTATCAACGGTGAGACATCTGGGTGGGATGGAGCAGAGCAGATGTGGGAGAAAGGAGAAGTGGCATCTTGGAAGGAAAAGCAGCAGCACTGGGATTGGTGTGTGTGGCTCATGAAAGGGAAAAGGAGAAGCCAGAGACTTTGGCAGGAAGAAGCCCAAAATGAACTGAGCACCAGAAACTTAAGCTGGAGGAGTTGAGATGGGTGGCAGATTTGGGACAGGCAAGAGGGGTGCAAGGAGGCCTTGTTGTTGATGCAAAGACATGGCCCAGGTTCCAGAAGGAAGATAATATTGAAGACCTCCCCCCCCCCAGTTTTGAATTTTGATTTTAAAACCCCTGATGCTGAGTGTATAATTACCCCAGATCTCAGTTTAATTTAATGCAGAGACAATGCAAGGCCTGTGAAGAAATTGACAAGCATCGCATCTCACCCAGAGATTAATTTTTGAGAATTAAAAACAAATTCTGACGATGTACCTAGCAACACATCTCAATGATTGGGACCAGAACCTGCAACACCTCTTATTTGCCTACAGAGAAGAAGGCCAAGAGAGCCCTGGCTTTACTCCTTTCTAATGACTTTATGGCTGCAACATAAGAGGTCTTTTGGGCATTGTCAAAGATATGTGGGAAGTATTATTATTAAATTTATATACCACCCTACACTCGCAGGTCTCAGTAGATGCTCAGAAGCTGATGCTTCCACAGAGTCAGGCCATGTGATCCAATGCACAGACCCTCTGCAGAACACTCCTTTCTAGTACCATTTCACAATGACGTGGTGCACAACAAGTAAAGAATAGAAATACAAGCTTGTAAAGAATCTACTCTGTGTGTGGATGTGCTTTAAAAAACGCCAGTAACTTTGGAAAAGAGGGAAAACAAAATGGTCACTCAACTTCACTCTGCTGAGCTTGAGAAGCCATAAATGCTCTTGAGGATATCACAACACACTTTAACACTTCAGATCAGTCTCTGTTGAGACAAAAACCTGCCAAAGGCCTTGCGGATCTCTTTGGTTTTGATGCTGTAGATGATGGGGTTCAGAATGGGAGGAACCAGGAGATAGATGTTGGCCATCAGAGAGTGCAGCATTGGAGAATTATGCCTGCCAAACCTGTGCACCATGGAAACACCGATCATTGGGGTGTAATAGAGCACGACAGCACAGATGTGGGAGACGCAGGTGTTCAGGGCCTTGAAACGGCCTTCCTTGGAGGCCATGCTCAGCACGGTCTTGAGGATCATCACGTAGGACAAGACGATGCACAAGGAATCGAGGCCAAATGTGGAGAGCACAACAAACAGACCAGTTTGGTTATTGATGGTTGTGTCTGCACAGGGGAGCTGGATTAAATTGGGGTGCAGACAGTAAGGATGAGCAAGCACATTGGACCTGCAAAACGGCAACCTCCTCAGGAGTAGAGGCAGTGGGGTCATCAGGAGAATGCTCCTCAAGGCAATCCCAGATCCCAACAAAATGATCCTAAGTTTTGTCAGGATGGTGGTGTATTGCAGAGGGTTGTAAATGGCTATGAAGCGATCCAGGGCCATCGCCCAGAGGACCCCAGAGTCCATGATGGAGAAGGAGTGGATGAAGAACATCTGGCTGAGGCACGCATCCAGCCCAATCTCCCTGGCATCAAACAGGAAGACGCCCAACACTGTGGGGAGGGTAGACAGGGAGACCCCCAGCTCACTCACAGCCAGCATACAGAGGAAGAGGTACATGGGCTTGTGGAGGCTCTGATCCTTCACGATCACTAGGAGAACAACGCCATTCCCCAAAAGAGCAACCGCATAGGCAAAGCAGAAAGGGATGGAGACCCCAATATTTCTGGCCTGCAGCCCTGGGATGCCAGTGAGAAGGACGGTGGGGTGGAGGAAGCTTTGGTTACTGAACAGCTCCATGGTGAGTGATCAAGTTCTCCCATCCAGCCACACCTGGATGGACATAAGGAAAGAAAAACACACCAGCATCTACATGGCAGCCTTTGGCTCTGCATTTTTGGCATGTCCATACCGTTCATGAGCTATATTTATTTTGATCTTATTTATTTGGTAGCTCACCTTTTGGTCACACACACACCAACCCCCCCAAAATAATAATAATAAAAGAACCCACACAGTGACAGCAATTCATATTGAAGCATCACAAAGAACTGTCTTTTAAAAAACTCAATAAATCTAGCACTTTTGGGGGGAAAGTTGCTTGTTTGTTTGCACTGCATTTGGACACCTCTTAACATATTTTAACCAAACCTTGCAGGATGGTTCCTGAGATTAAGGAGCGGGTTTTCATCTATGGTTGAATACCATAGACCAAAGAGCTATCACATGGAAGGTGGGGCAAGCTTGGTTTTCTGCTGCTCCAGAAGGGAGGACCTGAATCAATGGATTCAAATGACAAGGAAGGAGATTCAAACTAAGACTTCAGAAGAACTTTCTGGTGGTAAGAGCTGTTCAGCTGTGGAATGGATGACCTCAAAGGTGGTGGACTCTCCTTCATGGGAGGTTTATATGGACACCTTCTCCCCAACATACTAATTTCCTACATTTCAGAATGTCTTTTAAGAAATGGAGGACTTTGGGCACATTTGATCTTCCACCTGCCGTCACAAATGCTTCAGAATGGCCACCTTTGACAATTATGGCACACTCTATACCCCAACAAGGCTGTCCATTATAGGAATTGAATCCTGGAGCAATATGCCTGAAGCCAGAAGGAAGTTTGTGGCAACCTTCTCTGATGAAGAGCAAGTTTCAAACTGGAAAAAAAGAAGACCCACCTGAATGGAATCTCCTTGGTCTGTGCTGGTGGTTAGGAGAGAGATCTGGTTCTGCCAGAGACTCTGTGGCAGAAAGATTTATGCTGCTTTCTTGAGAATCCCTAGAGAAGGAGGAGATGAGACTCTTTGCCAGCAGCTTGCAGAGACCCCAAGGGGCACCAACCCAAGGGAGACTCTTCTGATGCTGAGCACCTTCCTTCCTCAACAGAGCAAGTTGCAGCATCTGCAGCAGCAAAAACAGCAGCCAAGGGTGTGGACCAATTTTGTGTTTGTGTGCAGCAAGGGGGAAAACGATAGAGGGGAGAATGACAAGAAGAGAAGAGAATAACAGTGGGATTCTAGGTATTTATAATCTGTAATTAAAAATGTGAGGTAATGTGAGGTGATTAACAGAAATACACTTGCTGGCATCCATCTGTCTTGAGAGACAATGGAGTGCGCCTCTGGGGTGAAGCCAAGCCATTGTGTTAGCAGCACCAAAATGACCTCCTCAGGGTCCAAGCCTGGACAGTGTGTATGGAGGTCCTGGGCTACCCAGATGACAACACCTTTTCAGACTTGCTTGTTGTTGTTGTTGTTTAGTCATTTAGTCGTGTCCGACTCTTCATGACCCCCTGGACCAGAGCACGTCAGGCCCTCCTGTCTTCCACTGCCTCCCGCAGTTTGGTCAGACTCATGCTGGTAGCTTCGAGAACACTGTCCCGCCATCTCGTCCTCTGTCGTTCCCTTCTCCTTGTGCCCTCCATCTTTCCCAGCATCAGGGTCTTTTCATGGGAGTCTTCTCTTCTCCTGAGGTGGCCAAAGTCTTGGAGCCTTAGCTTCACGATCTGTCCTTCCAGTGAGCACTCAGGGTTGATTTCCTTCAGAATGAAGAGGTTTGATCTTCTTGCAGTCCATGGGACTCTCAAGAGTCTCCTCCAGCACCAGAATTCAAAAGCATCAATTCTTTGGCGATCAGCCTTCTTTATGGTCCAGCTCTCACTTCCTCGGACTTGCTAATGTGGTCCAAAGGAAAGCAGAGCAAGATGATGGCACCAGCTTGGCTGCAGGAGTTGTCGGAAAAAGGAGTACAAGGCGCCACCCAACTGTCTTAGGGACTCCAGATTTGTGTGGGGTTTACTCTTGAGCCCTTTTCCTCTCCTGAAGATGTCCCTCAAGGCAGCAGAGGTTTAAGATCAGAGTTTTCCTTCTCTTAGATGGGCTGCCTTCCCAGGTGGGTGAACCCCGCCTGCCTTTCTCTTCCCTCTACACCATGTGTAGGCTTGAACCCATGTCCCTGAGAGTAAGAGTCTTGCGCTCTACCAACTGAATTTGCGTAAGCCGCCTTGAGTCCCAGTCTGGGGAAAAGGTGGGATATAAAGAAATAAAACAAGAACAAAAAAATAAGTGAGCAAAAGTAGGTGTCATAGGTCATCGGATATTATTGGGACAGCAAGTGAGTAACAGTTAGTGCCCCCACCTGTCAACCTTGGCCCACAGAGCTGGGAGGGGGGATAAGCATCCAGCCCACTGACCAGATCCAATTCCTTCAACCCGGATGTAATGATGAGTAACTGGTATGCCTTATTCTAGGGTCTGCCTACCCAAACTGTTATTTCTTAGCCCCTAAAGTGAGCCCCTAAAGAGAGCCAGTGTGGTGTAGTGGTTAAAAGCGGTAGTCTCGTAATCTGGGGAACCGGGTTCGTGTCTCCGCTCCTCCAAGAGGAGCGATGTCAGCCACTTTGAGACTCCTTAAGGGGAGTGAAAGGTGGAATGTCAAGTCCAAACTCCTCTTCTCCTTCTCCTTCTCCTTCTCCTTCTCCTTCTCCTTCTCCTTCTCCTTCTCCTTCTCCTTCTCCTTCTCCTTCTCCTTCTCCTTCTCCTTCTCCTTCTCCTTCTCCTTCTCCTTCTCCTTCTCCTTCTCCTTCTTCTCCTTCTCCTTCTCCTTCTCCTAAATGAACTCACTTCTTATTACAAAAGCATCCAGAGCAATATTCTCTTGATGGAATTTTGGCCAAAATCCATGCAGTGAATATTTGGACACCCACCTAGGAACACTTCACAAATGAAACCTTATATGGCCTTAAACTGTGGGGAACTGAGAGTTTGGTTACAATTAAAACAAGAAGGACTGCAAACTGCTTTATCATTTATTGACAAAGAACCCAGTCAGATGGGTGGGGTGCAAATAATTAAATTATTATTATTGTTATTATTATTATCTTGTCTACATGTGAAATGCCTGTGGTGTCGCAGAGCAAGTTGGCCAGTGTAGGGATGATCGCAGAGTGGGGTCCCACAGAGAACTCCTCCGCCTCTTCTCCCTTGGTTGTGGTTGCAGCACCAAGAGAAACCCAGCTTGGGACACAGTTGCCCTACCTTGCAGTCCAGAAGATGAATGCCAGGAAAGAGAAGGGAGGGAGGAGGGAGGGAGGGAGGGAGGGGAAACACTGTGTGGGGCAGGGGCTGGAGCCCAAACCCCCGAGCTCAAGTCCAACAAACTGTCATCACACTGTATCCAATCTCCTAGAGGCAGCACCCCCTGAGGAACAAAATGCAGAACTAAACTGTGACAACAAACCTGTACAAACATAGATCAGTGTTTCCCAACCACTGTTCCGCGGCACACTAGTGTGCCGCGAGATGTTGCCTGGTGTGCCGTGGGGAAAATTCGAAAGATTTTTTTTTTTTGTAAAAGTCAAATTAGGTCCTAATCTATCCCTCGAGCGCCTCTTGTCCGTTATTGTGACGCATGAAGCGTGTTCCCGCCCACTCCCCGCCCTCCCTTGCTTCTCTCTCTCTCTCTCTGTGGCGTTCTCCGCCGCTTCCTGCTGGGCATGCGCAGCTCGCCTCGCGCTTCCATTCCGGCCCCTCCTTCCCCCGACTACCCCGCCGCTCCGTTCCTTTCTCTTTCTCGCGTGTCAGAGAGCGGCGGCGCGAGCGCGGCGGTTCCCTCAGGGCTGACGGAGGGCTCGAGGAGGAGGAGGCAGGACGTGGAGGCGGAGAAAGCGGCGGCGGCCACCCCCCACCTCCGGCTCGAGGCCCTGAGGGGGAGAGATAGATAGAGGTGGGCGGCGGCGGCGGCGGCGACCACGACCAACCGCCACAGTAGTTGTAGCGGTGGCGATGGCGAGCAGGGACTCCCGCTCTCTCTCCGTCGTGTCTCTCTCTCTCTCTCTCCCCCGGGCCCGTCCGTTGAGTCTCCCGCGCGCCTCGGCTACAAGATGAGCATCGAGATCCCGCCGGGTCTGACTGAGCTGCTGCAGGGCTACACGGTGGAGGTGCTGCGGCACCGGCCGCCGGACCTGCTGGCCTTCGCCGCCGAGTACTTCGCCAAGCCGCGCTCTCCTTCCTGCCTCGCTTTGCTGCCTCCTCCCCCCCACCCCCAAAGCTTGGAGGTTCCCCGGCGCCGACCCGCAGGTTTGACCCCCTTCTCACACCTGTTCGTGCTCCTTGCACGGAATGGGGCGGATGGGGAGGAACGGGGCTCGACGCTGCCTCCGCTCGCCCTCCCCCCTCCGCCGGCGGTCCCGCGATTCTTGGCTTTTTGGCGGTTGGCACAGAAGGAAGGCAAGGGGGAGGGGAAAAAATTGAATCTTACACTTTCGTGCGTCCCTCCCGGCGTGACGCTGCACGCTGACGTCACGGGGCTGTAATGGTGGTGTGCCTCGAGATTTTTTTCATGAAACAAGTGTGCCTTTGCCCAAAAAAGGTTGGGAAACACTGACATAGATAAAGGAAGATACTCTCTCTGTGTGTGCTTGTGCTTGTGTGTTTCAGAAATACCAATAGATTCTGCAAATGTGCACAACAAAATGTTCATTCATCTACAGTGGTACCTCTGGTTAAGTACTTAATTCGTTCCGGAGGTCCATACTTAACCTGAAACTGTTCTTAACGTGAAGCACCACTTTAGCTAATGGGGCCTCCTGCTGCTGCCGTGCCGCTGGAGCATGATTTCTGTTCTCATCCTGAAGCAAAGTTCTTAACTTGAAGTACTATTTCTGGGTTAGTGGAGTCTGTAACCTGAAGCGTATGTAACCTGAAGTGTATGTAACCCGAGGTACCACTGTACTGAGCTGGAGAAGCCATAAACCCTATTGGGGATGCAAATAGGGCTCTTTGCCATTCCAGATCGGAACTTCCGTAGAGACAAAAATCTGCCCAGGGCTTTGTGG